GGTTAATCATGTACATATATAATTTTCAAAAATCAGCTTTAAAAACGTGTTCAATTGATTCTAAAGTAATTATTCTTATATTCTTGGCATATTTTAGTCTAAATCAGTGTATCTTGATGCAAGCTAGCACATGATGCAATATGTAATACCTTTGTTAATATTTTGTAGATTCATTAGGCCAAAGTAACAGTACTAAGCACTATGGAAGACACAGGAGACACTAAATGTCTGGGATGTCGTGGCAAGACAGGAAAAAGTCATATGTGATATATTTTTACTCCTTTCCGCTTTTCTGTTAAAAAAAAAAATCTCAATTCAGACTTGGTCTCACCCCTCTACAGCCCTAGTAATCATCTCCTTGGATTCAGATTCCTGATGTTGCTTGAACTCTGTGCTTTCCATTTCTGTTCTGGCCTTATATAGCATGATGCGCAAGAATGATCATTCCCCAAAGCCTGTAGTTAAAAGCCTGTGTCCCATCCCTCACCCACAGTTTGCCTGTGGTCAATTGCCTAATCAATTCCTAAGGGCAGGTGACTTTCTCTCTGACATGTCATAATCCTTCCTTTCTGCAAATCCACTGGCATCACCTCATGGAATCTTGAAAACTCACCTCCTCTGAGGTTTCCTCCTGACTACCTGGTCCCTTTACGATTGGAACTTCCTTTATGATCCTCTGATAGGAGCTGAACCTCCTGGGTTGAAACTGACACATTCCAGAAGGGCAGGGGGCACAGTGGAGAGGCCACTGGTTTTGGAGTCAAATCCAAGCAGGTAATCCTGACTCTCCCACTTTTGGACTAACTCCCTTGAACTCTCGTTTCCTTGTCTATAAAATGATGCAAAACTAATATGATAAATTGGAAGATTGATCCAAGTACTAGGGTACAGATTTGCTCCTTGCTGTCTTCCAAAATGGTGGGATCATATAATTTCTCTACTTAACTATCCTTAAACAACTTCCTACTATGCTGTGAAAAAATGGCAAGTGTAGACAGATGCTGAAAATGACTTCGTATCTTTTTGCCAGCTGAAGGTCCTATAAGTTTCTCAAAATAAGTGTGCCTCTTCCATTACTCTCTTTCCTGTTATTTAGCCACCACAGAACCCCAAATATTATGCATAAAATGGTATATCATTGTATTGAATAAGAAGGAAATGATGACTATATTTCCACAGGGCTAGAGGTTTAGTTGATTTTTTTATTTAGAAGAGACTGTGGAAGGCATAAAAACAGCTTTCATCATTTAATAAACTGAGATTTAGAGAACATGCATGACTTAAATAAATTCACCCAGAAAATCAACAAAAAATAGTACAAGAACCCAGTTATTCTGACATCTAGTCCAATGTTTCTTTCATGTATCACAGGGGCTTTATACAGATCTTCTTATTTGATTTCAGACTTTGGTATAACATTGGGAAGATGAAATTAATCTGACTTAGGTTATGAATTATCATAAACATTTGCATTGCCTATGGACAATTGGGCATTGGCTTCACTCTAAGTGTCCTTATTCAGATTTGTCACAGTCTCCACCTAAAATAAATCCAATATTTTCTTCTTAATATCATGTTTATTTTTCACTCCCCTCATCACATTACTCTTTCATTACCATTTTGCTTTCTAAGCATTTCCCTTTCATCTACTTTACATGGGGAAAATATATTGGTTAAAATTGACATTCTTGGGGGGGGAGGGGAGAGAGGGAGGAGGGCGGGAGGTGTCGGTGAAGGGCCATAATAATCATATACAGGGTATATTGACAAAAAAAAAAAAAATTAAAAAAAAAAAAACAGAAATAGCTGCAGCAGACCGCAAAAAAAAAAAAAAAAAATTGAAAACACACAACAAAATCTCTGAATTTGAGGCAAATCTTTCCGTTCCTCCTCACTTGGCAGTAGAGGCATTGTCAGCGGGAGTCCAGGCTGTGGCAGGAGCCGAGCTTCCGTGGGCTGGCTGGCTTCTCCCTCACAGCTCTTCAAATTTGAGGCAAATCTTTCCGTTCCTCCTCACTTGGCAGTAGAGGCATTGTCAGCGGGCGTCCAGGCTGTGGCAGGAGCCGAGCTTCCGTGGGCTGGCTGGCTTCTCCCTCACAGCTCTTCCTTGGTTGGATGTCACCACCTCTTCTGCTAGTTTTGCATTAACAGTATGTTAGTCTGTTCCCTGCTGCTTATAACAGAATACCTGAAACTTGGTAATTTATGAATAAATGAATTTTATCTCATACAGTTTCAGAGACTGGGAAGTCCATGGTCCAGACGGCGCATGTGGTGAGGGCCTTCTTTCTGGTGAGGGCTCCTGGCAGAGTCCCGTGGTGATGCAGGGCATCTCGATGTGAGAATGGCTGAGCAAGAGAGAGCTCACCAGCTCACCTGCCCTCCTCATAAAGCCACCAGAGCCACACCCGTGACAACCCGTTAAACCATTAACCCATTACCCTACGAATGGATCGATCCGTTCACCAGGGCACAGTCCTCACAATCTTATCACCTCTTCAGGGCCCCACTGTCCATCAGCATATTGGGGGTTAAGTTCCCACATGGGCTCGGGGGGACACTCAAACCACAGCAACTTGTTTTTATGTGGTTAAAAAATAGAAATCTGTTATAAGAAATTGCACTGCACTGCTACAGGATGTGATGCGGTATACTGAAAGAGTTTAGGGTTCACACCAATCAGATCTGAGTTCAAATCCTTGCTCTCTATTGATAAATAGAGCATCTTAGGCAAGTTACTGAATTTCTATGAGTCTCTTTCCACATTTGAAAAATGGAGATAATACTACTCATTGGTTGGTGTAAAGACTGCATGGGATGGTATATGTCCTACACTTGACCTTGAGAGGGAATACCTCCGATTTGATAAGTGTTGTCTCCCTTCTCTGAATGATACAGCCGTTCTCAGAACAGACCTCTGCAGTTTATGATAATTGCACCACTCAGACCAAGCCTCCAAGAAAACCACCCCAGCTGCTATGGTTGGGGTCATGGGACAGTGAGCCCTGGGTCACAGGACCCACAGCTATAGATCAGATCCAAAGGCAGCCTTTCATAGCATGGGGCGCTCTGCCCAGCAAGCACATCAGAGGCCAGCTGGCCACTGAGACCCCAACATGTCCTCTGCCTGAGGTTGATGGAGACAGCCAGTCAGCTGGGGGCAGAATTGGGGATGCAGGGATGGCAAACTAAACAGAAGCACAGAAGGTAAGACGCCCACCAGCAGGTGGGAGCCACCTGCTGCGTGGATCTCGTCAGCTCAGCCCTGAGGACAGCATGAGATCACCCTCCACAACAGCCCAGCCTCCTGTAAGGTAAAGAAAGGTAAAGCCTTAATAAAGCCCCAACATTTAATGCTCCTGGGTTAAGCACTGCCACCCTCTGCCAAATCACCTTGATGAAGTTTGACCTTCTCCTTCCCTAGACGTTTGCAAGACCCTATGACCTAACAAGACCTTGTGATTTCAGGATGGGGCAAAGCGAGCTCCAAAATGTGCTGGTTCTGAATCCACAGCCTGAGTGCTGCGAAACGTTCCACTACTAACAAAAACGTGGTTCTTGCCATAGGACCTCAGAATCTTAGGAAAAGGGTCTTACATATTTTTTTAGAAGCCTGGAATTTTAATGGGTAAGAAACCAGGATTCAGTGACCACTCAGCTGCGTCTCGAGGAGAGCTCCTCTTTGGCCTGCTCTGTCTTCACTTTCAGGTCTGTGATCGTATTTTCCACAGCAGCACGCAGAGGGTGCTCAGTCTTTAACTGGTGACTACTGCAGGACGAATGGACACGTGGACTCACTTTTGTGCAGGAAGCGTCTTTTCTGGAACAGCTGCTGAGCCCAGTTACCTGCTGTATGTGGGCTACAACTCTGGTTCCCATTAGCACCCCCACAAGGCCTATTTTTCTCCTAATCTTATAATTTGGAACAATTCTGGAATTGTAGGAATAAATCATAAGCCTAACTACTCTCAGCGGCAGCACTAAAAATAGAGAGCAGCTCTTTTATCTTGCTGCTTTCTCTTTCAGGTGACTTGGCCATTGGCATCGTTCTGCCAGCTCTCGCGCAGGGGATGTGCCTCATTCGGCACAGGTGGCTTCCTGCTTCCTCAGCACCTGCCTGGCTTTGCCACAAACACCCCCTGCAGGGAGCCCTCCTCCTCCAGCAAGGGGAACAGACGCAAAGACCCCGTGTTTCCTCCAGGCCCCGAGATGGGCTCACGGGTGGTGCTGAAATCCATGTGCTCCTCCCCACGTCAGCTCCCATGAGCCTAGAGGCTTCCGTAACGTGAAGGCTGGGGTCACTCACAGTGGATACATGTCGCCTTTCTAAAGCCTGCCTGAGACTTTCTATTGCTTCTTTCTAGGGTCCACAGAACATCACAGTGTCCAGTGTTCACACTGAGTGACTCTCCATCCCTGTACCTGTGGGGTGCGGAGGCTCGGGAAGTCTGGGACACGTGGGCTGTGTGGGGAGGCCAGATGCTGCGCCCTGCCACCTCACTGCCTCTGAAAGTGCTTCCTGCTAGGCCTGCTGAGGGGACAGTTCCCGCAGAACCCCCCCGTCCCTGGGCACCTGTGGGCCCTGCCCACCACCTCCCTCTCTCTGTATCTGCAGTGTCTCCTGCGAGTGGTGTCAGGAGGTTCTGAAAGTGCTTCCTGCTAGGCCTGCTGAGGGGACAGTTCCCGCAGAACCCCCCCATCCCTGGGCACCTGTGAGCCCTGCCCACCACCTCCCTCTCTCTGTATCTGCAGTGTCTCCTGCGAGTGGTGTCAGGAGGGGAGGCTGGGCCTCTTAGACATGCACACGAGCAGCGGGGTCTTTATTTCTGCTGTGGACGCTGCAGTGGAACGACGCAGAGGTGTTTTGGCGGGCTGAGTCCTGCTATGAACTCATTCTACAGTGCTGCCAGTCCTACGCGCAGAGACGCACTGTGAACTTTCACCTTTTGTTTTCTTTTTTAAGTCTTTGAATTATCATAATTTTGCTCATTAAATCTTACATAGCCATTGGCCAAAATGGGTACAATCTGCCCCAAGCTGGCACTGTTGGGGCCTGCAGACGGGAAGGAGGTGGTGGGTCTCTCAAGATGGGGTTTTCTTACCACTGAGCAGAGGCCGGTTGTGCCGGTATGCGGCTGGCAGCTGGCCGATGTCCTCCATCCTGTGGCTCATGACCCGGGAGAGGTGGCCGGTGTGGTGTAGGCTGCCCACCACGATGCTGTGGAGGTACACGGGCTCGATGAAATGGCAGAGGAGGGCGCCCTGCAGCCCCAGCACGTTCCATCTGGAAGGAAGGCAGGGCAGGGTCATTGGGATGCCCTCGGTCCCTAGTCTTTGTGGCTGAGCACCACCGAGGCTTTGGCCTGTGGCCACCGGTGAGTCTGAGCCGCTCTGAGGCTGCGGGACGGAGCCCCGACAGCACTCTGCGTGGTGGGAGACCTGGCTTCCTTTTCTGGAAGATGAGTTGTTATATGAAATGGAAGCTAAATGTTCTCTCAGGGACTTAAAATTAGATTTAAAAAAAAAAAAAAGACCGTTCCCAAAGTGAGTCTGAATTTCTCTTTGGATTAGCTGGGCAATATCAGAAATTGAATTTGTTCATTTCAGCTTAGGGAAAAATACTGTCTCCCATTCCTTTGTCCTTAGCAGTCAGAATGACCCATTGTGTTAAAATTAAATGACATTACAAATGACCTTGTTTTGGTCAGGGGGTGCTTTTGATTTTAGAAGCCCAGATCTCAGATGAACAAGGCCATTTTCTTTGAAATAAACGAGAGCTCTGGGCGAATGTTTTTGCTTCTTTAACAAAGATACCAGGGCACTGTAAAATTTTCCCCCTCACTTTGGGTGCTAAGGGGCTCCATGTATCTGTTATTTAAGATGACACTTTGTGGTTTTCACTCTACATAACGTGTTTCAAATCCAATCTCCGTCAGTAGCAAGCATTATGCCGCTAATTTCTTACATCATTATTCTTTTCATTAATTAACATTTCTCCACTGCTGGAGCGATTACGTGGCACCTGCGTGGTGTATATCTCTTTTCATGATTAATAAGAAGTCATTATATTTCCCTTCCCGAAGCAGTCAATTAACACAGAATTCTTACCATTAATTACCGAACGTCTCTCTACCTGGAGAGCAATCTGCTCCAAGAACCTATGACACCAATTGCTTTAAAAAGTTCTCTTTAAATTTTATTCCAAAAACACAAGCAATTTAGCTGGCGATATTAATTTGCCTCAGAAGCATTGCGGTGAATGAGAAACATCTTTTAATCTCATGCAAGAAAAGGCAGCCATCTGGCTGGTGAGGATTTCAGGGAGCAACGCTCCTGGTCTCCCTCTGTAAATGCAGGTCATTAAAGTAATGTGTTCATCTACATAAAACTCAAATGGAATATAAAAGGTAATATTTATATACAAACAATTTAGTCCTACAATTTAAACAGTCATTGGTTTTATGAAACATTTACTCTATCAGATTTGCATAAATTTATTAAAAAAAATATTGTGGTCAGTTGTATCAGTCACGTCATTCCTCTCAGAAAGCAAGTGAAGGGCTGTCTTTGGATACATGTAATTTGAAAGGGCAAATATCAACCAGCTTTGAAGG